CGTCCAAGATGGCGTCCAAGATGGCGTCGGGAGAGCCGCATCGCGCAAGAAACGTCGCGCCTTCGAGGCGGTTTTTCAGCCCGGAGGGTGGCTCGTAAAATCTCGAAAATGTCCAGATTCGCGCGCCAGGCGATAAAAAGGCGTTACTTAGGGTTCGGCGTTAAAGAAATTAGAGAGATAATTCCTCGGACGAATACCCAATTTACCCTTTCGTATGTGGCGCGAGCGCCGTGGCCTTATTATCTAAAGTGCTCGGCTGGCAGGGCCGTAGCGAAAGAGTAAAAAGGATCGCCGGGGAAGAACAAAAAGTAAGGGGACACTCTCCGGCGAACCCGGAACTTCGCCCCGGGACCCCGAGGAGCCGCTCCTGCAGGACTTTTTCCACCCGTCGCCCATAATTCATTTACACCCGAGATATTCCTCCGCGTTGGGGAAGGAGCCGTCTCGCGATAGCCCCGCAAAAAAACCCCTTCATTAATCTCCGATTATAGCCGTCCCTTATGAAAGGAACATCACCGACTCGTCGCCTCGCGGCGTGAAATAAACTGTTAAAATAAATACCCCGACACCCAGTATTATTTTTCTCTCCCAACTTGAGTTCTTAAAGAAACCGACGCGGGTCTAAGGGCCTTCCGCCATCTTGAATTTTCCTCTCGATCAAGCGAGGATTCTAATGGGCGAGAAACGAGGCTGAAAAATAGATATCCCTCCAAAGAAGCTCCGGGAAGGGATTACTATCGTCCAGCAACACCCCTCGACCATGTCGGGCATTTACAACCCCCGATCGGACTCGTCAAACCTTGATTGGCCAGCCAAAATCAGTGCCCATGAAGGGCCAAGTCTCGATTAAAAGAACCAACATCATCCCCTCAAAATGCATTTCTGGCCCGCGGCGGGGGTGGGGGCTCGGGGTCGGGGGCGGCGAGTCTTTGTTGCTATTTCGGTGGCCGCTCGGACAGATAGGTTCGATCGATGAATCAATCCGTATCCCGTGACATTGACGGGGGTGAGTCGGATCGGGGTTGGGGGTGCGCGTGGATGCGCCGGGCTCACCGTTGGGCGGCAGGGGGTGCAGGGTGCAGGGCAGGTGCGGGTGTATTAAAAAGCGGGGGTGGCTGCGGTCGCGTACCAATCACCCCCCGGGACTGCCCCCGGGGGGACGGGCGGGGGCGACCGGGCCACGAGTGGAAAGGGATCATATAGACGGTTTGTTCGGACGACGACCGGCAGCAACCACCCCCCCGACTCCCCCCGTGAAATTTTAATCGTGTCGTCATTGGGGTAGTTTGTTGCGATAACCCGACCGGCTTCCACCGTGTACCTCAGGATTCCGACACCCTTTTTTACACCCCCCTCCTCGCCCCAACCTGCCGGGTGGGCCTCCTTTCCGCAAGGGGGCGAAAATGCGTTCTGCCACTCTTTGGAAAATTAACCCCTGAATATCGGATTAACATATATAACCTGTTTAATCTTCAGCTTTTCATCCATGTATTCGTATATCTGTAAGAAATGCTGGAGGTGGTGACACCGTTTTATAGGTTAGAATGCAATTTTCTGGACGAGTTGATGGCTCTCTAGGGATATTTGGATTTCTAGTGGAATGAGGTTCTGCGCAGGTTTTATTAGGGTGGCTGGCCAGGAAGAGACACCCCTTTGCGAGGAACGCCGTACGTCCGGCCTGGTTAATTGCCGCGTTTCCCCTAGATTCGTCATTTCCCCGTGGGTGGCGGCGGTCGCGCGTCAGGATTATTGCTCATTTGTTCCACGGGCCGGCCGCAAAATAATGTAGAAAATTGTTTTGCGGCCTTTTTATCTGGATTCGGGGTGCCTCCGGCGGGCTTTGTGTTCCCATCAATCACGCGACCTTCCCGCCGGATATCGGCCGGCTCGACCGCTTTTTGCGTGCACATCCCGCTCGATTGCAATCGGCGAATTATTGAATCTGGTGCACAGGCACAGCTGCATCCACGCGCACCCTCACATACGGGAAAGCGCAGCTCTGCAAGGTGCCGGTGCAACTGCCCATAGGAATGAACCGAACGATATTTCTGACCTCTCGTGGGATTTGCTAATAGTACTTGTGACGTCACGAACTACGTTGTAAAATAGTAATATAAAATGTACATCCGCGAAGAGACTCTCGATTGTGGATTTTTAAGTCCGGCCATTGTTCTCTCTAGTAATTGATATTAACCCGGATAGAAATTCATGATCATCATACCATGAGGATAGTCGATTTGCAAACCATTTGCCGAACACTTGCTGCATGAAATGTTTGCAATATATGCACGTATATTGCACAATAAAATTGAACAAAGATTTGCGGTAGATTTGTCACGCCATGGAACAAATATAGGCTATAGACGCTGCAATTATTTATCGACAATACGTGAGATGAACTTAGCTGTACGTATGCGTATAAACATTGCATATGTTTAACTTCGTTTCATATTTAAGTATTTTTCGTTCGTCATTGGGTACTGCATATCTGAGTGCCAAATGAGGACTCGTAAGCAACACTCTCGTGACTTATTTCATGATCTTTTATCAGGCAAATTTCATGCTAATGTTTTATCACTTTATCTATCTGGGAAGATTTCAGTGATACCAGGATGCAGCAGCGATTTAAATGACATTGCTTCGAAATTCGAGGGTCCCTCGTTCGATATCTAACGTTTAAAATTAGGGTTCTAATTATGGTACGCAGCAACAATTTAAATGAAATTGTCGCGAAACTCTAGAAACGCCGAAGCATTGTAATTTATGTCTTTCTTTGGATATTTTATCTTCCGGAGGCAGGAAATGTACGAACAAAATACAGTCCCTGGAAATGGAGTCGCTTTTTAATTCCTGGATTCGGCCATTTTGTCAATTAGAATTTTTACCATAGCCGAATTCGTTGGTTGGAACAATTTCAATGGAATTGTTGCGAAACTCGAGATGCGCGCAAGTGTTGTAATTTATGCCCCCCGCTCGATATTTAACCGATGTTTAATCCCCCGGGGAGCAACAAATGTAATATCCGAAAAAAAAATTCATGGCGGCCCGTCGAAACCGCGGCCTTCATTATAAATTGGGCAATCGTTTTCCATACCCAGGGTCCCTAAACAAATACATTTGTTTATAACAATCGGGCACCCGCAGGAATTCCCCGCTCCCGGAAATCGATCCTGCAAATTGTGAAATTTCTCGTTTTACCTTCGAGCCTCGGCAAATCCTCCGTCCCTGAAACGAGAGACATTCGTAAACTGTAAACAAATGAATAAAACTGCACGTAAACCACTCAACAATACGTATAATGACAATCGATGACGTGACAGGAGTTCGAACGAAAGGAAGTGTCGATGAACAAATTACGATCGTTGTTACAACATTACTCCAGGCACAAAACCATGTCGGGAAGTCTTCCGTGATCGAGTTATTTACAGTGATAAGATTAGTTAATGGGTAGTAGTTTACAAGTAATGGTCGATTTTTAGGAGAGCCAGAAAGACGCGTTTGCAAGATGATTTTCCTCGTCCTTCTTGAGGAGCAACAAACAATTTGCCATATCTTTTTTCTTTTAAATACAATTCATCCAATACTTCCATCAGTCGTGTTGCAAAATGTACACCATGTAACTATTGCTTAGGACAAATCAAATGACACTGTCAAGAAACGTTTAAGAAGTCATTTCCTATACCAGGTTTTTGTCAACGAATAGTATCCTTAGAATGTATTTAATCGCTGACCAAGGATACGGAATTATCGAGAATTTTCTAAGAATTTTTTCTTTCATTCATTGATAACGTTTCGCGTCAGCCCAGGAGGTCCTGAAAATAGCAGCTGAAAATTGGGCTGGGATTAAAAAAAAAAATTGAAAGGGAGTCGAGAATAGGTGAGCTAAGGATACGAGCAAACGATCCTTCTGATCCTCTCGTGGGACCGTCTCGTTTGGGGAACTCTTCAAGATCGATACGCTGACACAACCTGAGGATAATTATCGGGAGGGGTGCTCGAAAAAGATTATCCTAATTAGTATCTGGCGCCACTTATTTACACGCTATTCGACGTAAACCCTGGTTAGTCCTCGAGTCCCTGGTGTCCTGACGCACGAATCAGGAAGAAGTCATCCCTGATGTCAGGCCGCAGCTGATCCCTAAGGATCAGTTTCCGGGCAAGATTCGGATGATCTGATATGATCATTCTGTAAGGATCCCATTGCCTTGACAAGTCAGAATTGGCTCTTGCGACTGGGAGGTCCTTGGTTCAAAATCCAGGGGTAGTCCTGAGTCCCGCGTGAGGACTCTCAGTGCTGGTCGGATCATCGGTTTGGTTCCTAGACGAGATCTAGAAGAGATCGATGACTCCGATTCTGATGTCTTCAGGACTCTCCGAAGAAGTCCAGTCCTCAGGTCTGTCTGGTCCTGGTTCGGAATATGGAGTCCTTGAATAAAAGTCAGGGCCTTTTAAGTAGACGACTTCCCTTCCGGATCCCAGATAGCTCTTCAGCCTACGATGACTTTTTCTCAGTATGTCTGCAGACTTGTTTGAGTGAATTGATGGATTGTACATGGTCATTCGTCATTTCAGTCTGACACCATGGTCAGGGAACTTGATCCCAGTATCGATTCATCCTGTGGACTTCGTCGAAAGTGGTGGTTACCGTGTCCTGGGACACCTAGTGCATGATCCTTTGACCCCAGGTCTAAAATCATTGTGCCGATCGTTGTCGGGAGTGAATTTTAATTACTTTCCCTAAACTGACTTGTCTATGCAGTTTTTATGTACAGATCATCAGTGTTCTGGATTGCGACTATACCTAGACTCGTTTATCTCTTTGATCCTTGTCTTTAATCCTCGTGGAAGAGATCATTCCCAGCAGGGAATTCTACCTTATTCTGGGAGGAGCAATCGGTATCTACTTCGACTCAGGTTTTCGTCATTCTTCGTTAGATCTCAAGATCTAAGATACCCTGATCCTGTTCTCAGACCCTTTGGAACGAACCCAATGATGGGTCTTAATAAGGTCTCCAGACTTGTCTGGGCTTGGGAGTCCTTTCCCTCCTGGGGGTGACGGATTCCCTTTCCGACTCGTCCTCGTCCTCCTTCCTCCGGGTCGTCAGATCCTGCCCTACATTTTCCTTATCCTGATCGCGTTTGGTGCTGAGATCGACGGTTCCCTCAAGCCTGATCTTCACCGCCAGGTCGCTGCGCCTGAGCTGCTCCTGTTCAGGTCCTATTTCATGGTCCTTCAGGTTCTCCAAGCTAGGCCTGAGCCTGGACGAAGCTTCCTGGGAGTCATCCCTGGAGTTGGCATCATCGGGATCGCTCCTGAGCGGCGAGTCCCTTCCCAGCAGGGACTCCTCGCTCCTGGGGCGATCCTTCTTGGAGTCCTGATCCTCAGGCCTGTCGCCATCATCCACCTCGATGCTCCCATCAGGACTATCTGCATCCTGCAGGCCATCTCCTCGATGACCGTCCTCTTCCTTCGACGCCTCTTCGGGGCTGCCAGAGGATCCTCTCAGTTTCCTCAGATCCTCCAACCTGGCCTGATCCGGCCTCTGAAGACGCTGTTGAGCCATCCTGAGAGCCAGGGCGTGCCATTCAGGCTCCAAGATGTATTGCTGAGTGTGGTACAGAGGGTTGTACAGCCAGGAAGACTGAGGAAGCAGGGGGGCGAATATCGAGCCGAATAGGGACCCTGTTGCTCCCAGCAGGTGGAGTCCTGGAATCAAAAAACATCGTTTTCATGTGTGCCTCGGGACATAACTCTCAGACCCAGGTTGAGGATTCTAATCGAAGCTACACCTGTTCATTCAAGAACCCACCTTGAAAATGGGGGTGCGGAGGGTGGTGTCCCGAGGGACTGGGAGTCGTCGTGGTGGTCTCAGCAGGTGGAGTGGGAGCCGTCACTGACGCTGTCGTGAGCAAACCTGGCCCGTTCCCAGGGGACGTCGTCGGGGTGACGTCCCTGACGGAGACGCTAATGGGTCCCAGGTCGTTCCGGGAAGATTCTGGGCGAGAAAACGGAGCATGGAAGTACCGAGCGCTGAGAGTTAGGAATATTCATAAATATTCTCAGGCAAGATCGGGAGTCCTTTGAGCAAAGTCAGACTTGGTCTCGGTCATTCCACTAAAGATGGCTGAGGCGTTTTATAAGGATTGGAATCACGTTCCCAGTATCAGCAGCATAAGTGCCCCTGCATCCTCAGCAGGTGGACTTACCGATGGCCGGCACCGGGAGCCTCGGGGACCTTTGTTCGATGGCATGATGGAAAGGGTTGAAGGCCGAGGCCCCACCTGGGGGTGGATGGGAGTGCGAGTGGTGGCCGGGCGGCGGCGGAAGACACTGCGGAGGCAGCGACCCCCGTGGCAGGCCACCCCAACCCTGGTTCCCACCTTGCTCCAGGCTCAGGTGCTGTAACCCTGAAAAGGACGACCCACTTGTCAGGAGATCGCCTTCGCTTGGTCCAAATCGCCCCTAACCTCTACAGACAGAACCAATATTTTCCCAGACCAATGGCGTCGTAAGAAAGCTGTCTCCCCCCCTCCATGAATCCGAGTCATGACTCGGGCCGACCTGGAGTCATTCTCTCGGTGGGTTTTCGGAAAACCTTGATCAATAGTAGATTATAGCGTCATCTGTGCGAGGCAGTTTAAAAATTCCGTAAAAGCTCCGAAGCCAAAGGCGCGGCTGGTGGGGGGCGACAGTAGGGGAAGTTAGGGGAAGCGGTGGTGGGGAGGGGTATAGGGTTACTGGCCAGTGGGCGTGGCCTGCGGAGATTGCGGCGAACCCGATTGGTTGGCCGCAAACCCCCCGCCGGCGGCCGCGAACGGCGCTAGTGGTCGCCGGAGGGGGGGCGACGGTAGGGAGGGCGCGGAGTAGGTGGGGGGCCGCGATGGGGAGCGGGAGGGGAGGGAAAGCTCCGAAAGGGAGCGGAGGGGAAATTTTTAAGCTCTCTTTAAGCCGGGCGGCGGGGAGGACACTGCTATCTGGCCTTCTACCGGCGGCACGTTCGCTGCCACCGTTGTAGCTATGCTACTTTATGAGAGGATTAAGAAAACGATAAGAGCTCGCGACTTGAAAAGCTTCGTAACTCTGGGCTTTGCCGGCGCGGACTCCGCTCGTCCTGACATCGCCGGCCTGTCCTCGCCCCGGACTCCGGGGCAGGGAACTCTCATTCCCTTAATGGAAATTTCCCTGCGGTCAGGTCGGAGCTTTCCGAGCTTTCCGCCGTAGCGCGAGACGAGTTTGATTCCTTTCTTTATTTTCTGGGAATTTTTCTACCCTGTTTAGGAATCTCTGACGACTCTGATGTCGCTTAAAGGTCCCATAGAGGTAACCTCGAAAAAGCTCAGGGTCAAAATTCGGAAAGCTCACGGACTCGAAAGGTAGGTAGGAAAATTAAGTAAATTACGATTCACCGCGTTAATTTCATTTCGAAAGTGATGGTCGAGCTTACCGGGTTAAATCGAGCGCCCATGGCGAGAAGCTTCGCTTGCCCGCGCCGGTTGTGCTGCCGGTTTGAGCTTCCGGCTCGCCGGGGGCGGAAGCTCGCCGCGAGAGCGCGCCACCGTTCGCGCGTCTGGTTGGGCGGGGACGATAATTTCGAAAACAAATGAAGACTAATGAGGGGAGGGCCGCGGAGGGAATGCCGGGAAGAGAAAGGGTTGAAGGAGCTGCTACTCTTTAAGGGGTGAGCAATGTTAAGCTTAAACGTTACGGCTCTCCGAGTAGTTGCCCGTGCCGGGGGAGCTCGAGTTTAAGGGATGATATATTGCACCCCCGAATCCACGAGATTCGGCGACATCTTGGAAGGTCGCGCGATTGAGACGTTTCCCCGACAGCCCCGATATGTAAAAAGAAAAAATCAACCCCCCGAAGGAAAGCTCACCCTGCGATCTCGACATTTCCTTTGGCAAATAATCGAGATTAAAAGTCGTCTATACGATCTTCCAGCCCTTATTGACGTCCCTTGGGGAATGTTTCTAGGATGTGGAAGAATCTTTTACCTCCCCTCCACCCACCCTTCCTCTTTATCTCGGAAGGGGGTGGTATCGTAATGCCGAATTAATATGCAGAATGCACGGGGCTCTCCGGTAGCCACTATCTTCGGGGCGGAAACTTAAAGAGGCATTACGGGGTGAATTCCCCAAAGTAAAGAGTAAAGCTCCGCAGGGGTAGGCAACCCCCCCCCCGGCCCGGATCCCCGGGATCCCCGAGATACATAATAAATTAATTCGCGTATTTTCTTGTCCTCCTTATCTATTCAAATCTATGCAAAACAGGCGTTAAAACGCGCCCCTTAGCTCGCTTAGGCGTTAACCCTTGTGGAGCCCATGGTGTTTTGCACCCTCCTTGGCGCGGAGGTAGCCGTTCACCCCTTCGGGTGGCAACCCTCCCGGCCGGGTGTCTTTGCACACCCACCCTTTGCGCCCGTTCTCATTATCGCGTCGCGCAACCCCTAAAATGCCACCCCTAAAGGTCCCCGGTAGAGGCAGGGCCTAAGAGACCGGCCGACTACCCCGAAGAGAGCCTGTTTCACCCCCTCCGACCTCGGCCGAAAAACAGACCGACGCCGAGGATGCCAAGGGGGTGAAAAGCGGTTGCAAGTGGACAGTTGCGGCCGTTCTTTCCATTTTCTTCGGGGAGGAAATAAATGAAAACTCGTTACGGAACCTGATTTTTGAAAATAGTAAACTCGGTTGAATTTTCCGCCAATTACACACGCACACACCTGCATACATGTGCGCGACCGTCGCCGAGGTATTAAGGTCAAGTTTCGGTATGATAAGCTTGTCAGGATCAATTTTTTATCTAACAACACCGAGACACATAAACAACAATGGTTTTGTAGTTTTTTTCCTAATTTTTTTTAGATTTAATGGTGACACTTTTCTCCATCGAATAGAGTATTAAAGATGACGTTTAACTTGCGTTGTTACATCGGCGGGAATTTAATTGAATTCACGGCGGGACGTTCGATAAGACTTTTTAAATAATGGGGTTAGAATTAGGGATTTCGGAGACTTTAGTTCGCGGTGGTGAATTTTCATCCTCCAAGGTATACACGTTGTGATTTTTTGTCCTCATTTCACGTAAAAAGGACGAATTAAATTCCACCCCGAAGAGCCTGGGTTAGGGGCGGGTCACCCTTCGTGTCGTGGGGTAAAAAGCAGAGCGATGCTGAGAATGGCACGAGAGAGTCGAAAAAGAAAAAGGCTGAAAGGGTTAAGGAGGGAGGGAAGAGGGTTGAAAGGGCCGATTGTAGGCATTCGAGCTGAGACATTCTTTTTTCGAGGAGGGAGGAATTTCTTCGCCCCAAATCCGTGTAAATTGCGAAGATGGTTTATCGAATATTTATTCATTAACTCTGCGTTCCCGGGGTATTTCAGTCAAGGATGGTTTTACATCCCTTTAGAGATTAATTAACAATATAATGAATGAAGTTTAATATCCAGCTTTCATGGAAAATCTCTTAAGACCGACCCGAGAAGGTTCCGCCGACCGAGGGGGCGGTTTTCCCGTTCCGTTTCTCAAGGGGGTGGTTTCCCGATGTTCTCCAAGGGGCGCCTCCCCCCGAAGAAGGACTATCCTTGTCGGGGGTGTCATTAGTTACCGTCGCCCCCGAGAGCGGTCACCGGACCTGATTAAAAGACGAGCCTGACCCACCCCTAGGTAGGGGTGGGCCCCAATAGGGGCTGAAATGTGAGGCGAATTTAAAGGACCCCCGTGATTCGACACGACGGTGGACAACCCTTAAAAAGGTTCCCTTTAAGGACCCCGCTACCCTTCCGAAGGGTTTCCGAGGACAAGTTGGCTCCTTTAAAGGCCGGCCTTTTCATCCCTCGGCCCACCCCCGAAAACCTGGGCCGAGGGGGTCGAAAGAAGTTCGAAATTGTCGACGTAATTCGATTCGCGACAGCCAATAGGTCGCAAGTCCGGGTGTCGGTCGTGAGGCTCGAGCCTCCGGGGGTGGTTCGCCCCCGCGGGGGGTTGGTGCCTTTTTAAGGGGATGCTCGCCCTTAAAAACGCGAATTTACTGCAAAGCGATCCGAGGGGCGGTCTCGACGGTCGCGACGGGGCAGGGGGTGACGGAAAAGGCAGTTTTAAACGCGCGCCTAACAATCTCCCCCAAATGAGGTAAAGGCCACCTTATTGAAACAGGGGTTGCGATTTTTCCGCCCCCGGAGGCGGTTAATTGACACGGGGGGAGGCCGGATGGGGTGACGCCGCGTTCTTGTTAACTCAAATCCCGGCTACGCGATTTTTCAACCCCCGCGACCACCCCCGGGGGGCGACGGGGTGTCTATCGCCCCCGGATCTTGGGGTGCGATTTTAAATGCACCCGGACTTTCTTCCATGCTGTAATTGATTCTCTCCGGGAATTTAAAAAATCGCGGTTTTTATTATCCTCCTCTCTCATTAATTTCCATAATACAGGCACTTCAAATACGAAGGTTAAGCTCATTGAAATGAACGTTCCATTAAAAATGTAATTTTGAAAAACTACCCCAAGGGAATTACTCGACTCGGAATCCTCAAAATAATTATTGTCATTTCCAGTGATTTTTACAAAAAAAAGGTATTTAGAAGAGGGTCAAAAGAGTCCGATTTGATATTTCGGGTTTCCAATTCCGTCTCTCGCCACCCCAAAGAGTCCATAAAATTCGTCCCTGCTGCTGAGGCAGGCCGAACGAAATTTAATAACATCCCCCGGTTACACCTCAATGGGTACCTTAACAACCCCTGCACGAGTAGCTGCGTGGAAGTGTCTCCTTATCAACCCCCGGCGCGGATATCTAATAAACCACCCCTTGAAACACACCCTTACCCAGCCACCGATACCCTCTTCTCTTGGCCCCTGCCCAAGCCCGGTCGAGGGGGAGACCACCCCCAAAACCCCCNACCCCCCGACACCCCCTACACCCGACTGACCCGCCCCCGAAGTGGACAGAGGCGCAACCTGTGCTGCACGGGCTGAACTACCGAGGCGAAAGGGTTCACGGAAATGGCGGGAAGTATTCAAATTAGGGGATGATTAGCTCCGAGGGTAAGTTGGCGGAGTAGGTAGTAACCGATACCTTCCCTTCCGTGAAAATGCCCAAATCCCGAAATGAGCTCCAGAAAGGAGGGATTCGAAATGATCGACCCTAAATCTGGTACATCCGTAACGACTACCCTTAAATATGAGAACTGAGAAGACGACGCGTGATGAAGTTTCCGTGATAAGGTATCTGAAAATTGGTTTGATAGAGGCGAATGAGGGAAGAATGGGGGATCGAGAGTCGTCGATCCTGGATCCAGGATCAGGGAGGGGTCGGGAGTGGCAGGACTCTTGCTGGTCCTTGATTGGGGTGGGGGTGGGTGGTTCGCACTGTGGGTGGCGGCGGTGGCGAGAGATCGACGGCAGGACCGGGGGCTTCCGCCCCCGTATCAGGGGGAGCGAAGCTCCGTTAAGCCGCTTATCATGCCGAAACAATACACTGTCGGTGCACCAGTATCACTTCCCCTCGCGCCCCTGCGCCCTCTAGTCCCATCAAAATTTGGACCTCCCAACGAGTTCGAATGAAATTCCCTACTGGCTCCAGATCGAACGGACCAGTCCTGCAGGAGCCTCGCAAATATTCACGAGTCGCCCAACATCCTGCAGGAAAGGGCCAGTTGGAGACCCCGCCACCTCCAATCCGATCGGCTGCACCTGCAGCTTGCACCTCTCTGTCTTGGAAATTCTCCCCTTCTAACCAAAGTTGCTCCACTATGAAATAATTTAAAGATGAAAAAAGAGGCTGTTAAATTATAAGATCATCCGCGTAGCTAGGAAATTATGAATTTTATTAGACATCGTAACCTCGATGCACCTGCGACTGCATCTTTGATTATCTGCACCGGAGACGCTACCTTTGTAATCAAAGTTGCTCCACGTTGAAATAATTCGGTTAATAATTTCAATAAATTTGGATGAATCACAAAAGGTTCATCGTGTTACTAAGAAATGGTGAAATTTTCTGCTACTTCGATCTTGATGCAATTGCAGCTACATCCTTCACATTTCTGTACTTGAGACGCATTTCCTTATAATGTCAATTGCTCTTCAAAGGAATTGTTTTAATCGGAAAGGAAATTATTGAATCATATTAAATTCATCCGTGTTATTAGGGTAAAGTAGGGGATATCGTACCGGCAAATTGTACCATTACGATATTTAAGAACACATACTAAGAAATGGCCATATAACTGAAAAATTATGAACTTAAGTGTGCTACATTTGTTTATACCTAACTATTTGGTGGCAGCACCGGTGAGTACTAAAGACAAAGGCATATTGTATTAGTTTGCTAACGCCTTACTAATTTTGCCCCATTGATTCTAACCGACTACACCACGTGGGGTACGTTAGAAAATTGTCACCAATAATTGTTAAAAAGTTAATTTAATTTTCATGCGAGTACATGCATTACCTTTTGCATAATCCTAAACGGACACTTTAAAAATTATGAAACTGAAAACAACTCCCGGTAATATTGTCCCACCGCATAATCGGGTAATTTGTCCCGGTACAATTATCCCTTCTGTGTTTATTAAGTCAAAGCTTTGATTATCTAAATATTCACCCTTCGACAAACGTGATTCTGTTTAGAAATGGCACCAAAAAGAATTATGGTTATCCTAAGATATGAGGAAAGCCATTAACACGTTCCGTGCCACGCCGTATACCACCCGAGGTTAACGCGTATTATCGGTGGTACACGTGGCACAGAACGTGCTAAATTGTAAAAAGTGGTTTCATGAAAACTGTGCTAATGTAAAATCTACATGAATTCCACATATTCATTTTTCGTCGTAAAATATGATTTATGTAATCAACTTTCTTTTCCGAATTTTACTTAAATGGTCAATGTTTTGCTTAGAATCCATTTCTCGTACGTGGTACAAATTATCCGACCTTATTATAACAGAAGAGGACGATTTACCAAATGAGCTGTTTAAATCGTGCCGTTGTAAGGAATATTTTATTTGAATGTCTACCGTATTAAATAGCATTGATGTACTTGCATGTGTGTACTTTGCATACAGAGTTTCACAGATAAATGAGATACGAATTCGTTTACTAAAAGATCCTGTCAAAAACATTTCTATTGGCATTTTTGTAAACCTGGTACAATTTACCCAACCCTACCCTAGATGTCTGCCATGGTGAATTTTATTAGTCCTCGCGACCTCAACAATGCCCAATAAGGGATGAAAAGGCAACGCGCCCTCCCTCGGCCTCTCCTAACGAGAGTCTTCTCCACTTAGACACCAGGGGAAAACTCAATTTTGAGTTGGCGGACCCGGCGCGGCTCAATTTTGACACCCTCCGTGCGAGGTCTTCGGAGAGGAGCGAAGGGACGGAGTGGGTGGCAAACTTAGTTATCCATCAACCTGGCTGACTACCCCTAGAGTCAAGGAGTCGAGGGTGGCTCTTCGGGGGAATTCGCCAGATAGGGCCTCCTAGGAAATTTGACTTACCGGACAGCTTGAACCCTAGGGGGTCCTGGGGGTGTCCGAAGGGGAAGGGCCTCGGTCCGAAGTGGAAGGGATGAAAGGCCTGGTGTCCTGAAATTTCATCGAGATTCCTCCATAAGGACGACTTTCCGTGGGATTCCCTAGAAAAATCCCTAAACACCCCTTAGTACTTACACGTTACCTATGAACTCCCTACCCTCATTTATAATCATCCACAACCCTTAATCATAATTACCCGCGGTAATATCAATTAGTTTTCCGAGATATCGAGATTAACGATAACAGATGCACCCTTATCACTTTTGGCTTGTACTCACTGTACTCACTTGTCTTTGACCTCGGCTCTCGAGGGCCATCGACTGTCACTTTGATGGCCTTTGACAGCGTCGCCACCTGCGGGGGTGTCGTCTGCAGCATGATCGTCAGGGTGAAGCTTTTCCCTGAAATCCGAAAAGTCGTCACTTCGAATTTCCCCGGAAGTATTAGAAATACCATTCAGACACCCCGACGTCAATGTGCCGCGTCAAGCTCTGCGGAAACAAAACACAAATGTGACGGAAGTAAGGGGTGGACGCGCGGCGCCATTGCGTCGATGATTCGCCCCCGTAATATGATAATGCCCCCCACCACCGAACGAACAAACGTCCCCGGCAAATATTCATACCGAGATTGAAAAATTCACCGACTTTAGCCGAAACCATTGAAAATTGGGAAAAAGCCGAGCGCGGTTTTAGTACTTTTAATTGTGGCATGAGGGGTGAGTGGTGAAAGTGATACCCATTTTAACGCAGTTTCGCGCACTTTAACGCACTTGGCATCACGCTAGTCAGCTTATGGAGCTTATAACGCGGCGCCAGGGCGATCTGGAACTGTACGGGACAGAATAGGGCAGTCCAGGACGGAGGGGGTGCAATATACGTATGCACGTGTGAGGGTAGTTTTATTTTATGGCAGCAAAGGGGGTTGAGTGGTAATGGGCGGGTTTTTACGGTGAACCACGACATTTAACCGGCTTACCGCCGTCGCCGCGCGAAATATTCCACGGAGAGAGAGAGAGCCACCCCTAAACTTTTACGGCAGATCGCGAAAAGCTCGGCGAATTTCCGAAGGACACCCCTCGATCGTGTCCCCTCCACTCGGGAGGAGATGCATCCCTCGAATTCTTCACCCTACTCGAAAATCCCTCGAAAATCTCGTACCCCTGTAATCGTCCATAATTGGGGGTAGTTTTCTAGAAAGTATATTAAAAATAACATTAATTAGGGGAGTCTGTAAGAAAAAATTATCAGGGATGGAGAATACCGAGAAGAGACGCAAAGAAGCGGAAACGAAGCTCGATGAAGACGTCCAAGAGTGGAAACGGAAAGAAAAAGATCCCCAGGGGTCGAAGAAGCCGAAATCGGTTCGGACTTATTGGGGGCGGATTTTGAGGGTTGGCAAGGAGAGTCCTTAGGAGGATCCTAACGAGGCTGAGGTTTATTGCCGTCGCGGTGTCAGGGTCGTCATGGGGAAACGGGGTTGCCCTGGAAAAGGGGGTGGCTGAGACATTTTGGGGGTGTTTATGAGGCATTATGTGTAACTCGGCGGAAGAACGATTCCTTCCCGTCTTCGCAGCCGTTATGGGAAAACACCTACGGGGGATTTATGGGGATCCTGAAACGTCCTTCTACGACCTAACCTAGAAAACACCTAAACTCCCTTAAATCCACCCCTACGGAATTTTCACGTCACCTTCTTAATTTTGTAAAATATTTTCCGAGTGATGCGATTCAATTATGCATTTGGAAAATGAATCGATTAATGAATTACGCCTACTTTTGAGTGGAAGAGCAGTTTATTCCCGTCTTCGCAGCCATTATGGGAAAACACCTACGGGAGATTTACGGGGACCCTGGATCATCCTTCTACGACCTAACCTCGAAAACACCTAAGAACTCCCTTAAATCTACCCCTACGAAATGTTCATGTCACCTTCTTAATTTTGTAAAATATTTTCAGGGTGATACGAGTTAATTATGCGTTTGGAAAATGAATCGATCAATGAACTACGTTTAATTGTGGCGTGTGGGGGTTTTTATCGGGCACCTCGCTTGATAAGGAGGGAAAGGTCGAGGGAAATTGCCGTAAATGGGGAGACGAGGAGAGATTCGAAAACGCTCACGTTCGCCCCAAGTTTACTCAGGGATCATGCAGTGTTAAAAACACCCCTGTTTGCCGGCGAGCCGAGGGTGGCTCTGGATCGTTATTTCGGAGTGTTTGTAGTGTTTTAAGATTCTGACGTTTTGACTACCCGAATCGCCATAAAGGAGCTGAGTACACCGAATCGCGTGCTGCTCGCCGTTAAAGAGGGCTGCCCGACTTTTTTCCAACCCCCTTTTCTCCCATTCTTCCAAAATGACCTCTCACCACTCCTTCGCTCGGGAAAATAATTATTACCGTTTGTAAATAATTCCCGGAACTCGGGGAGATCCGTTCCTTTTTTTCTCGCGAGCTTTAATAACCGGGAACGATGAAAGCCAGCGAGTTTAATAAGCGACAACCACCGTCGCGGCGCCGATCAATCGTCTCTGATAATGTCATCGGAAATCCATTTTAAATATTCCCTCTCTTGGTTATTAGTGGAATATCAGGAAAATCGGAAAAATTCAATCGGAAGGTATTCCACAGCGGTAGAAAATTGTATCAATATTATTTCGGGATTTTCCGAACACGGGGAGCTCCACATTCCGTTGGAACCGTCGCGCGATTGGTCGGACTGGCCGCCAATTTTGAAAGTAATGAATCGTAAAAAGGACTCATCTTGAGTAATCTAATCGTCCACACAAGGCATAAGGGACGAATTTGTATAAAAAAAAAAAATGATTTTACACATTTTCCAGCATGGGAACCTCGACATTCCCTTGGAACCATTTCGCGATTGGTTGACGTCAACGCAAATTTTAAAATTAACAGAGAACCGAATGAAAGGTTTGTCTTGAGTAATCTAATCGTGCAAATAAGGCACTAGTTATGAAAATATATAAAAATTTATTACGCCATTTTCTGGACAAGGGAAGCGCGACTTTCCGATGGAGCCGTCGCGCGATTGGCCGACGCCGCCGCGAATCCTAAAAGTCGACGCAACGAAGGCGTAAGAAGGGTTTATCCTGGCGGATAAAAATTAATAAATTTCACGAGCTCCCGGCTAATCGAATCGTTCAAGTGAGGCATAAGGAATGCTTTCCGAGGGGGTGCGTCCGGCCGATTAAAAAGCAGGGCCACCGAGCTTGCTCTTGCGAAAGTACGGAATTAGCATAGGTATGTTAACGAAAAGAAAAAAGAGACGCAGGAGGAAAACAAAAAAAGAACCGGCACAGGGAGGAAGGCAGATGTAGGGGGGTGCAGGGGCCAGGGGGTGGAATAAAAAAGAGCGAAGCCGGATCGGAGCGCGAAGCCAGGGCGAAAAATAATGTTTAATCGGTAGAAAAGCTCGACCAGTGCAGCCAACCCCCGTTCAGCGCCCTGGCCCCTTGTCCCCCATTCCGCCCCTGCTCGGCACCCTTAGTGCGGACTTGGAGGGGCGATTTTTTAATTTTTAATTGGGAAAAAAGGCACCGAGAGATCGCACCGGACCCGGGAGGGGTGCCAAGGTACCCCACCTGGAGGATGCCTTCCGCCTCCGTGGTCATCCCCGTCTCGAAAGGGGTGAGCCGCCCCATTTTTTCCTCCTCCGAGAGGATTCACCACCTCACCGCCCCGAGCGGAACGAAACAGCACACCCCCTTTCATTTTCATTTCCATTTTCATTTTCGTTATGATTTTCATCTCCATCCACGTTGCATTAGCTCGCAAAGTATTTGGGTAAAAACGCTCATGGAAGAAGTACCTTGATAAACCTTCCTAGATGAGGAAACGCGGAAATTGAGAGGGAAATTAAAAAACCAGGAAAAATCAAGCGGAACGTAATTGGAGAAATTATGGGATGTGGTAGGAGGGGTAGGGTCTAAAAAATGAAACGGAGAGGTCGGGGGTGGCAAGGACGGGGTTAAGTCGGCGCCCATCTTGTGGAGGCGGTTCCTCCTATTCCCGGATACCAGGACACCCTGGTACCGGGAATAGGGGAATATTATCGTGCTCGTGCAGGGGTGTATATCACCCGGCACCCCTTTCGTTCTCGACAGGGATTAGCGTCAACCTCCGAGGCTAGGAGTCAGGAACGAGTAGGGTCCTCGTAGCGGCACACGGCACCACACAAACGGTTCTCCCTGTGTTCCCCGTGTTCCCTGTGTGCACAGGGTGTTCCATGGGTGCCGTGTGCTCGGCCATAGGTGTGGATACGTAAAACGACGAACGGATCGCATAAATACCGGAGTTACCGGTGTTTTATGACGGTTCGGATATCCGAGGTACGGACGAGGAGGGCTAGAGAGACACCCTCGAGGTATCGACAGCTAGATCCTGACCGATGTCCTGGTACCCGGTGTCCAGGACCCAGCCGGGAGATGTCTTCTTCCTGGTACACCCTTCCATTGGTGACCATCCCAAACTAATCCTCAGCGCCATTACGAATTTACCCATTGGTACCAAGAACCCATCGAAAGAGGGCTGATCATGTCCGACACTTCCATTTACAAGGATTTAATAATTATCAAGATTACCTAACACAATCTTTAATTGCCCTTTGGTCCTAAGAAGAACCCATCAAATGTGGGTTGATCGTGTCCGATGACCTTATTTTTAAGAATTTATTAAGGATCAAGATTAGTGGGGTGATCACGTGTATGGTACCAGTCACGTGGTGGAGGGGTGTTCTCCCTCTGGTGCTGATGCCTCTGGGATTTCATGAAAGTACCGGGCTTCTTCAAACCAGGTGAAGTTTTTATCTTTCAAGTAAGGAAATTCAGGATGTCTTTGTAGGATCAATCCCTGTCCTGAAAATCCATCGATCAGTTCCTTAATCAGTCAATGTGGAAGCCGAGCGGCGCGCAACAGAGCGAAATAAATGTATTCCAACGGGAATAAACACGGTGAATGTTTATAAAACGCATCGAGGTTACGCCAGCCGGCAAACGCCATAAATTATGGAATTGGTGGAAATTCGAAAATCCATTCCGACCCCTCTGGCGTTTGTTATCCGGAGTTTTGCAAACTGATTTTGGGAGCAGTCTGTTGGACGGATCATCGATTCCTTGGGACTGCACGGCTGGATTGAAAAATTGGAGGTGGATTAGAATATTATGACCGGATGACGATTAATGGTCCACTTTCTTGGGACTTGGACCCAAGAAGGGGATCCCATGGGTGGGGGAGGGCGATTAGGGGGTTTCCAACGGGAAAGAAGGATTTCCCGGCACTCGAAACCGATCTTGCAGGAGGATCTCGAGGCAAATCGTTGCGTACGAGTGGTAGTTAGGGGCTGGCCGTAATGCAGTAACGAGGGCTTACTGCCATGGAAACCAAAGCCGCTTACAGTCAACCACTCGGCCTCACCCCTGCACCTACCGTCCACATACGATATGTCGTATGTATGCATCCACGATGCGTGCCCAATTCGCCATTTTTACGGAAAACCCCCGGCTAGGTTCCGCATTTTCCACGGACGTGGAAAAAGTCCGATTCGAGATCCACTCACCGTTCCTTCAGACCCTGCGCTCCGATTCGCGTCCTTAACCTCACCTAATCGTGCCGTCCTAACCTCAATTTCGGTACCGCGCCCCGTCCGAAGGACTACATGTCTGTTTAAGATATCTTAAGATAGGAAAAAGGGAAAAAAGAGGATGGATCTCTGTCTCGGACGAAGACTGCGTCGTCAAAGGAGCATCCAGCGGGAATTAAGGCACCCCCTTTCTGAAAAATGGCGAACTCCCGATTAGGGTAGGAAACGCTGGGGGAAATAATTCACGAGTCCAAGTACTCGGCTGGCACGCGGGATGTGGAAAGAAGAAGGCACCCTTAAACGTCCATCGACTTTAAAGAGTGCCGGCCCTGGAGCACCCTCAGCGCGCCCCGAAAAGGCGACACGCTTCCGCTCGAACTCTGCAATTTCCTATTCCAATTTGCCATAAACAAGTCGGGCTTTCTCCGCGCTTTCTCTCTCGTTAAAACCGTCGAGGAGAGGCGACTTTAGCGGGAGCGAACTCGCCCTGAAGGAATTAAAGAAATCGGGGGAAGAAGTCAAAACGACGCCTCTTCGGGCGGAGGAAGACTTTCCAAGATGGCGGCGGCGGTTGCGCTCCGGCTGCCTTTAATTCCTGGTGGATTATTTTAGAAAATCTAGTAACGGAGATTTCCGGGTAACAGGGGATGATTTAATGAAAAGGCTCCAATCATCCTCGCTTCTGCGTTTTTTAAGTTAGGCCCGCTGCTATTCGGGAGGTCAGAAAGAGTCGCATTAACGGTCCCTAATGGCGGCGATGATTAGGGAGCATTATTTAGGGTCCGGGGAGACGAATTTTTCTGCACCCCAACCTGGGGCTCGCTTCCCCGAGGAAAGGAATCGTCAATTATTAACCGACCTACGGAATTAAAAATCTCCGCGTCCGCCATGTTGGGTGCTCGGATCGGACGGCGTATTTGCCGAGTGAATTAAAAATGAGAGGGAATAAGTATCCCGCGGGAAGCCACGATGGAGCCCTAAGGAGGGAGACCCATCAGGAGGAGAGGGCCGGCTTAATGTGCCTTTGAATCTTTCAGGGCCGACCAATGAGGTCCGAGTGGATTCTTCCTGAAGGGCTGTTCTGGGACATGGGTGTCCTTCCGCTAACAGGACTATTAGGGTAGTTTGTTGTCGGGCGACCCAGGACATCAGCCTAGATCCTGCGTTACAACCAAGTTCACATCAATCTTCTCAATGTAAACCTTCACTTTCCACCCTATCGTCAATTCGTAACGATTAGAATAATTGTGACCTCTCACCTCGCCCACTCCTGCCGACGAACCTCAGGTCGTTGAATTTGGCGACCTGGTTCTTCATCAGCGCCGTCGAGTTCCGGAGCTCGGCACAGCAGTTCTCGTCGTTGCCGGCTCTAACAGTGACCAGGGTACCATCGCCGACCTCGCCCAGGGCCACCACCTTGAAAGCCATGGGCAGCGTCTTGTTGGACCTCCAGTGGGACGGCAGGACGGTGCAGACCACGTGAGGACATCCTGGGAAGATTAGAATGAGTTGTTTAGATAGTTACCTTGTGATTCTCGGATGTTAAGTCCAGAGATCAAGGGACCAGGGTTTAAGGACGGTTCCAAAGGGTTCCTACCGGTCCTGACCAATTCTCCAGGATGCTCAGCCAGGAGTCCATCGAGGGTCCTTTCTGCCAAGAGGTCCGCGGTGAGAGAGCAGTCCGAAAGGTGATTGCCGCCGGCAGATCCCTGGGGAGGGACCTCGCTGGCCAGGTGCATTATTCTCCTGGAGGAGGCCCTGGTCCTCCTGATCCTGGAGCCCCCGATTTGACCCACTGGGTTCACCTGGTGATGACGGGTGGATCTAGGATCCACGTGATCTACGCCGGGAGGCCGATCCTCTCGGCGGGCATCTCGCGAGGGGTTCGTCATGAGAACGAGATCATCGACCACTTGCCGGAAGTCCTCGGGTTCCTACGTTCCCATTGGTCCAGACCCGGCTTCCCTTAGTGTCCCTGGGACCGAGGATCATTTACCACGAGCAACCGCCACTAAATAATTAACTAACACTGAACGACCGGCTTAAAGTCTAATCCCAAAGTCACAAGAAGAGGACCGTCGTCCACTTGGGGGATCCATCATCCTCCCGTTCTCGTTCGGCCAGACTTCGGAGTTGGCTGCTTCCCGGACTAGAGATTTTTTAAGTCCATCAACCGCTGACAAACGATCGCCTGACATTGAACGATCGGTTCAGATCCTAAATGCGAACTTGGGTAATTAAGGTACCCAGGGAGTATCTGCTCGAATTCGACCGCCGTCAATCTGAGATTTACTGTTGGTGATTGACTGAGGTCGAAATCGTTGCAGTTATTAAATGCCTCGCCCCAAATCGACTAGTCATATTCGAACGTAAGCCTAATTTCCTGAAGCATCTGTAACTTATTCTCTAACACCTTGATCGTAGATAATTATATCAATCTAGAGCACGTCAACTCCTAATATATTTCTGCTCCTAATAGTCTCCGATTCGTAGTATCTACTTTGGTCACCGATCATCGAGTTGTAAACTTTAAACACACTGCAAATCGGTAGATAGCTGATCGATCGGTGGCAAGGGAAGACCTCAATATTAGCTGATTGCCCACAGACCTATCGAATTAATGAATCTCAACGATTCCTATCGGAGCGATCAGTGGACAACTTTGGCATCATCCAAAGCTGCAGAACTGTAATTCCTACCGAGAATTCAGAACGATTAATTATTGTTTAGAGTCAAGAATCCTTTATTTCACTTTCAGGATTTTTTATTGGTGGTTTTTGGGTCAGTTAATCGATCCCGGAGATCTTAGTTAGGTGAGGTAAGGACGAAGAACCCTGGGCCCATTCAGAGATCCTCGATTTCGTGTCCACCATGGGCCTGTATCGGTGTCCAACCCCCAGGAATCGGATTTGTTTTCCCCTGAATCGCGGCATCGTGTCTCTCCGTATCTCCCGGCCCTGTCCCCAGGATCCTTTGATCCTTATTTCATTATCCTGCGACGGGGCCGACGAATCCGCTTGCAAATTCTCCGGCTTGACTGCCAAGTCGCGGAGAAAATTCGTTTTATTGGAATCGATGGGAAATCCGTCTCTCCTCGTAACCCCTCGATCTTTTCCTTATTCCGCCAACACCGACCCCGATTGCATCGCTTTCCTCCCCCGATACTTTCCGGTACAAAACCACTTGGTACCGCACCCTACCCAACGATCAGCCTCGAACTACACCCCCTAAATCAAACGGTCACTTCTCAAAGAGGGAGTCTCATCCCTGCCCTGATGCCATTCCTCTGGAAAATCAATCAGGAGTCGCAGCTCGTCAACTAACATCACCAGGGATCGATCGATGATCCTCCCACGTTGATGCGTGCAGTCTGGGGTTCCTTCCACTCTCAAAAGACAGACCCAAATTCCTATCACCTCGAAATTTCGGGTACCGCATGAGCTGCCCACTTAGGAGTCAACCTCGAGGTAGTCTCAAGAGAGTCCAACACCAGTCACCAACTACGAAGAGGTACTGGACGATAATCCATCCTTCTTCAGTGATCACTCGTTCTTCGATCGCGAGAAACCCAGACCGAACCACTTAACCCAGGAGGATAAATCCATAACCCAGGACCACTCTCCAACTATCAGGACACGTGTTCCGTATCAGTCCACTCCCGCCCATGCCCCATCGGCACGACACATCCCAACTTCCGCCGACCTAAAGCGCGACTGCTGGACCCAGTTCCACACACCAACACCACGAGACCCGGAATCCCCGGCAAAATATCACTCTAAGAAGCCGGGCCATCTAATGAAGAGTCGAGGTCCACTTCTCCAGGAACACCCGTCTCAGAAGGACGTCTTCGGGATGAATTCTTCCTTATTCGAAGGGAACTTCGAAGATCGAGTCGGCCAATTTGCCGATACCGTCCCAACCGGACGATGAAGCGGCCGCTGACTAAGTGTAGTCGAAGCCTCGACGTCTTCTCCGAGGGTTCCACCCTCTGCAGGGGTGAAGTTCCTTTGGTATCGAAGAGAGAGAGAGAGCGGTTCGGAGGTGTTTAGCCGGTCTCGGTGTCTGGTCTCGTTTCGGTCTCGGCGGTGGAAGGTGGCGGCTTCTGCGGTGGAGCCGCGCGGTGTGGTTGCGGTGTATTTTTGAGGCCGCCGCCCCCGGCCCCCAGCCCCCGCCGCCGGTGGCGCGCCGCTGGTGGGGGCGGTTTTTCATGGCGGAGGGGAAAAATCCCGCTGGCCTTTCCCGCCCCCGCGCCGAGCCGCGCCGAGCCGCGCCGAGTGGAGGCGCTTCGGGATTCCCCTTCGCGCTACGGCCCGATGCCTACCCCAAGTATAACTCCGATTAACGGCCGAAGGATCTCGGGACGCGATAACGAGCCTCGTTACACTTCCTTGTCCTGGGGATCTTTTCCTGCCCTACCGAAATCCAATTTTTTCCGACTTTGTTGATCTTTTTCGCCTCCAAGAAGTCCCTAGTTGATTTTAATCGACTCTAATCAACGCTGTCGAGCCCGCTACCTCGAACATACTTTTTAGACTTTTATATTTGGGTTTTCATTGTTCCATATCTGCTGCATGTATTATTCTGATTAACAACCGAAAGACCTCGGGACGCGATAACAAGCCTCGTTACACTTCCTTGTCCTGGGGATCCTTTCCTGCCATACCGAAATCCAATTTTTTCCGACTTTGTTGATATTTTCCACCCCCAAGACGGAAGCCTCTAGGTGACTTTAATCGACTCTAATCAACGCTGTCGAGCCCGCTACCTCGAACATACTTTTTAGACTTTTATATTTGGGTTTTCATTGCTCATATCTGCTCCATGTATTATTCTGATTAACGACCGAAGGATCTCGGGACGCGATAACGAGCCTCGTTACACTCCCTTGTCTTGAGGATCCTTCTTAGCCTTCCCGAAATCCAATTCTTTTCGACTTTGCTGATTTTTTCCACCCCCAAAACCGAAGCCACTAATTGATTTTAATCGACTCTAATCAACGCTGGCGAGCCCTTTACCTCGAATACATTTTTTAGATGTTTATATTTAGATTTTCTTTATTTAAGGTTATGTTTTGGGTACAGCGAGAGAATGAGACTTTCCCGGAGGTCATTTTCAAGTGATAATTAACCGATAGTTACACTTCTTTATGGATCTTTCTTCCCAAAATTCAAATCATCGCCCCGATTTTCTTGTTTTTCTCCCCTCGCAATAAAAGTCCCCAATCGACATTTCGTATACTTCTATATATTTAATATTTATAGAGAAGTTGTCCATAATTTAAAGCTATGTGGCGCTATTCCACGCGCCTATTTCGTCCTATACTATATGTTTCATAACTCGTCAGGTTATTTTTGGTATCTTTAAAGTTGTATTTGCGCGTTTGTTCAATTCTCGCCCAATATTGCTTAACTTCGGTGATCGCGCGAGAAGCAGTACCTTCAACATGGGTTATCGTTGATTTTCCGAGGTTACGTTTCGTACAGAGAGCGCGGAAAAGGATCCATTTAAAGTGATGATTAACTGATAATCGAGCGAGGGAAAAGGTGCACTCGAAGCAAAAGGGGGTTGTAAAAAAAGGGTTTGTTTAACCACTGCCGCGGATTCCGATATACCCGGTTACGGCGCCGATATTACCGGAAGTAACCCAGGCCGCTCCGGGCTTCCCGGAAGGGGGTGCGGAATCGTCGGTTTCCCCGCGCGTTTTTCAACGCTCATCGCGGCTCGCGAGGGAGGGAATCCCTTTCCGAATGTCCCGGTCGAGTCCGCCCCCGAAAGGAGACGGTCGCGACCATCTCGCTGCCGACTGCGGGACGACACTGTGAAGAAGGGAAAACAAAGACGACGGGACCCCCTTGTGCAGTTGCGAGTTTGGCGAGGGGGAGTGCAGGGGGGGCAGAAGACAGCAAGGGTGGGAAAGACAGAGAAAACCCGAGTTGCTTTCTCCGGGAGCACCCAGGGGTAGTTACCCCCGGGTGGAACCTATCGTGGGCCGAGGGACACTTTCTGGACTTTTGCGTCCAGCGATGCACCCCTGACACCCCCGTGTAACACACCCTGAGAGACTCCTCCAGCGGAATCATTAGGGTGCATCGCCGAGTGCGACTCTTGCTTTGATGCATCTGCGACAATGCAACCTGGCACGTCAATTAAGTAGGGATGGGACACCCCCCAACCGTGATTTCGAGACAGTTAATACTTTACCCTCGGTGCCCTTCATATCGTTCTTTTGCACCGACAATTGCAAGTACTGCACGTATTAATTCTGCGGCTCGAAGATTATTCACCCTTGAAATAGTTGATCCGTCGTCTTCGACCGAGTATGTAGTAAAGGACCGAATTTGCGGGAACCGTGATTTCCAGACAGTTAATATTTTACCCTCGGTGCCCTTCATATCGTCCTCTTGCCCCGACAATTGCAAGTACTGCACGTATTAATTCTGCGGTTCGAAGATCATTCACCCTTGGAATAGTTGATCCGTCGTTTCCGAACGAGTATGTAGCGAAGGACCGAATTTGCGGGAACCGTGATTTCCAGACGGTTAATATTTTACCCTCGGTGCCCTTCATATCGTCCTCTTGCACCGACAATTGCAAGTATTGCATGTATTAATTCTGCGGCTCGAAGATTATTCACCCTTGAAATAGTTGATCCGTCGTTTCCGAGCGAGTATGTAGCAAAGGACCGAATTTGCGGGACGTCACTCTTTCGAGGTCCAACGCTGTACTATCGACCACGTTACGTATCTGCAGCAAACTGCTGGGACCCCGAACGAGAAAGACCCCCCATAATCCTACGCCCCTACGGTTGACAATACAAGAGACCCCTACACCCCAAACGCGCTTTTGGCCCTGCATCGATTGCAACAGTTTCATCGGGAACAATTTTTTTCCG